AGATGCTGACGAAGTCAGTGAAAGAGGGTTGGTAATGGCTTGCTTTCACTTTTGTTTCTGATCAGTATCAGAGGTACTGACAGTCACACGCATGTATCCAACTATTTTCATGAAGTTAAAAGAATCCAGCTCCCTTTTTTAGGTGGTTATGCTAGTTTTTGGAGAGCAGAAGATGGCAAATACTTGGTAGTTACTTGTGTAGTCTCGTGACACTGGGCTGTGTTAGTCAAAGGATTAATGAAGTTAAACCACGTTTTGTCATCTCTGGGTTGTTAGATTGTTCCATGCTAACCACAAGTTACCTGTCGGTATCTGATCCTTTCCTTACTATTTGAATGATTTTGGTTTCGTTTCTAATGCACAAATGACTGTAAGGAAAGAGCTGTAGCTTGGTTTGGGTAGACTGTATTGTGTTTTATTCAAGAATGCAGTTGATAATGAAAGGTTTTTTTTAAATTTTTTTCCTGTTCAGAAAATGACATTACAGGGAAGTATATAACCAATAAATAAATTGTACCAGACGGCCAGATTTTTCTGAAGAGCATGGAGAGAAAATGCGGATTGAGTTGATCTGGGGGAAAAAAAAAAAAGAAAAACAAAAATCCCCGAGCCCCTTAGCTCTCTCTGTCTCCTAATAGATGGTATTCAGCTTATAAGTAAACTTATAAGCTTAAGATAACGTACTTATTTGTGGATGAAAGTGAGAGCTGTGGCTCCAGGTTCCTATTTCTGAATACACCTCACGAGTGTTAACACCTACCGATGGAGGCTCTCTGTCAGTAGATTTGATACTGGAGAAGTCTGTGTTATTGCTTTTCTAAGATGTTGAGAGACAGAATGTTATCTCTCATGTGTGGCTGATTTCACATACAATTTAAAAAATATGCTTTGAAGTGGGATTAGATGTGAAAATACTCATGTGGCTGGAGCGACAATCTGTTAGCAGAGCTGAAGATGGCCGGTGACGCCTTGGTACCCCCAAAGTGAATGGCAAAATGCCAGTGGGCACCAGGAGAGCCAGCGTTGCGCACAGCATGTGTAAATCACTCCTAGAGCAGTAAATAATAAATCCTGCAGAGGGGTTGCTTTAAAGAGATAATTTGATGTCCAGAAAGTGCATTGGTTGTTTTTGTTAGCTTCCGTTCTTGGTTGCTGGTTTTTATTTTGCCCCGTCTCCTGTGTCACTGCTCAGGAATTTGTACATGTTTGTCTTTGCGTGTTTGTCCGTTGACGCTTCTTGAGTAGTGATTGAGGACCCACTGAGTATTAAAAAGAAAAAGTATTTAAGGCAAAATACACGGTGACTAAGCTCTTCTGTTCCTGTGGGGATTTTTACAGTGTTGTGTGTAAGTCGAAGAGGGCATAATCCCCTTTAGAAAAAAAGCAACAGTGGTGGCCAGCTGTATCCAGTATTCATTACCAAGGGTAATAAGGCTGTGGGTTTTTATGCTTGTTATTGCAGTGACTCTCTTTTAGCCAGGCGTGCTTATAGGAATTAGACTCGGACTTTAGCGAGAAGTGCAAAGTGTAGTTGTCGTTGTTCTGATACTGCATTTGGTAGAAATTGCAGCATTTCTTGGAAATTACAGCCCAAAGCAGAGGTATGGTACCAGAGACCAATGTCTGCATTATCATTTTGTGAGAAAAAGTAGATGTTCTTTTCATTTTTTAAGGGAAAAAACAATTAGTTGGTAATATGTTCAAGTTCGTTAGGAAACAGCCCTCATTCAGTTTATTTTAACTGGCTTCAAATTTCATTTAGAGATGATTCCTAGCATACATGATGCTAGGGAATAAAAAGTTTTAGTTTTCAAAAGTCTGGTCTTGGGTAAATTGGCATCACTGGAATTCGGTCCCTGTCTCCAGTCTCTGTAGCTATGTGTATATATATATATATATATACACACACATATATATATAAAGCCAATATATTCTAATCAGATTCTGAATGTAGAGATGTCCAAAGCAGATGAAATCTCTTCAGCTGTATTTTCTGTTATGAAGACTATGATAATTTTGCGACTCAAATTGTTTTGAAGTTCTTATCTGTTCTGACAATTAAGCCCTAGCAGTTTGAAATAATTTTATATTTCTTTCAACAGAAAATATTAGGCTAAAGCACCTTGTAAGCAATGACAGTTCAGACAGTGAAGATGAATCACAGCATCCAAAAGGTAAGGAAATCCTCACATTTTATTTCATAGCTTACTTTTTTCATCAGCTTTCATGCGGCATGGTCAAGCAGTTTTCCTTGATCTTACCAGCAGTCTCATATCACTGAGAGCTCTGCTCTCATTTATACCAAAGGTAAAACTTGGCTAGCCTGAGGATCTTAGAGGAGCCAGTGGCTCAGCAAAATCAAGAAGTGTTGGACAGGAGACCTCAGGAGGGCCTTTGGATGACTTTGTGCCTCCTGCTCAAGCTGGTGATTGAGTGATTCTCTCACATGTCTTCAGCCTAGGGGTGAGCCCAGCAGGGCTTCACAGAGGTCTGTCACTTCACATACACCCCAAAATCAGGCTTGCTGAACCAGTGATCTCCACAAGTCTGTTCCCAGCAAGCTGCTGAGCTCAGAGGAATGTTCAAATTGCTACCAGCCAGCAAACTAGCACTATCCATTGCTTTCAAGGGTGCCTTGATCAAATATTTACCTGAGAGTGGTGTAGTTTGTGTTTCCAGCATTCACAGATGCCTCCTAGCAGCTTTGCGAATGACATGTGATATTGGAAATTCCTAGTGCTTGGCACAAGGTATTAATGCCCAGGACCAGTTTCCCAGAAGAGGCACAGCCACAAGGGGAACGTTGGGCAGTGGGAAGAAAATGTCCTGTCAAAAATTATCTTTGGGTCCCTAAGCCACCTGGGGATTCCTGTGATTTTACTCAGGGTCTCTGTCTCGTCCTAATAACGCTTTCTGTGTTTGATGATACTTGTGGGGACAGCAGTGACTTTCACCTGAAGAAACTGACTATGTTTTTAGCAACTAAAGCAAAGATGGCAATGTAGCTCTCTGTAATTTTGGGATCTACAGGAAGAAAAGAAAATCTTGTGCAATGAGACAGTGAATTATGTCATTCGCTCAGTTAAATGATTACTTCTTCAGTTCCCCCTGTGTGCAAAGTAATAGGGAGAGGGCAATACCACATTTTGTGTTTATTTGTGGGTTTCCTGTTTGAGCACTATAGCCAGCATGAAACACTACATTTCTGTCATAGCTTGTAGCCATAGTGGACAACCTACAAATCTGTGATTTGTAAACACTTGGTAATCCCTCTCACTGCTATACAATATTATTTTACAGATGTTGGACTTAGTGGTGTTTGATGCTTGTTTTCTCTCTGCTTGTATAGAAATCAGCTCCTTTGAAGCCTGGATTAAAGAGGCACATTTCAGTGCTGGAATGAAAGTGTCAAGCCTGACCCTGAATTATCTTATACAAAACACCCCAAAAAGTCCAGTTTTGACAGTTTACAGATGCAAGGTGATGCCAGTCCAAATAATTGTTACTGCAACGTCTAGTTATAGACATCTGAGTCTGGACATTTGATTGTACTCTTTAGTTAGGTAAAACCAGATATTGGTTGTAGTCTACAGTTTACTGTAAGGATATTTTCAGAAATTTTAGAATTCCTATGCTAGAGCATTCTCTTTTATGGAGACTAACTTTGCCTTCTTAAGGAAAGCTGGGTTTCTAGCAATCAGCAAAATATGGAGAAGGGTGCAAGTACACATCCAATTAAATTTAGGTCTACACAGAGTATGGATCTTGGTGACTCTGGTCTGTCCTCCGAGCCCAGCAGAGTTTGCATTCTGGGTGCCAGCACAGAGAAAGCCATACGCTCATTGCCCTTTCCATCCAGACTAATAACGTCTGGCTCAGGTCATCTAAGACATTCCCAGTCTGTTTGCCTGATGGACGCATCCACACAACTGTACCACAGATGAGAAGTTTCACTGGCCTGTGAACTAAAGAGGGTGGTTTCTCTCCGTTCCTCTGAAATTCTAGAAGCAAAGCTCCTGCATTCAGTCCACGGCTCCTTGAAAGAAGGCTATGACCCAGTTCCTTTTATTTTAATAGGATCTTTATTTTAGTAGTCCCAGAAATCTTGGTTTTATACTTTTTATGTTAACTGTCTCACCATTGATTATTTTCATTTTCCTCTACAGGCACTGAAAATGCCGAGGCAAATCAAGAATATCAGAACAGCAGCCAAGAAAGCTGGGTGCAGCGGATGCTGATGGCTTTGGTGGGCGACAGTGCCCTCTTCAACACGAGGGAAGGGCGTGCCGGGAAGGTGCACAACTTCATGCTGGGGTTGAACCTCAACAGCTGCTACCCGCTCTCCCCGCTGGCAGACCTGCTGACCCAGGAGTCCGTGGAGGAAGATGAGCTGGATGCGGCTGTGGCAGGTGAGTTCGCAGAAGGCCTGTGTGGCTGCATGTTCGTTAGCAGCACCAGAAGCAGCGAGCTCTTAGTGGCGTGTTGGTGGGTGGCAGAGGTGGGGAGGTGGCGGTGCCTCGAAGGGCACCGCGCAGGGGCTGCCGCCTGCCTCCGCTGTCCCTGGCAGTGTCTGCAGAACACTCGGGGCCGTGGGGGGGCACTGGCTCTTTGTTTGGAAGTTGTTGGCAGAGGTCACCAAGCTGCCTTCGTGTGTGGTGCCCTCCAGTAAGGCCACTTGCTTACCTTTTGGAGAACTCCAGGAGAGTATCCCGTGTCGTTGCTTTTCTCAAACTGGTGCTAAGCCTTCTGGTGGAAAGAAAACCTTTCCTTGTCCTCCTATAGGGCTTCCCTGTTGCAAGACTTTGGCAGCTCTTCTGCTGTGTTTTTCTTCCTCTGAAAAACCTATGGAGGCAACACACTTCTTTGCTTGTAGATCCTCGCTTTGCTGACGCCGTGTTCTTGCCGGTGCGACTGATCTGTCAGGTGCATTCACGTTTTGCCTGTGACTGATGTGTGGGTACATCTGCGTTTCACCTTGGCTTAAGCAGGAAGCCAGAATGTGGATGGGAAATAAGAATTTCAGAGTAATGTTAATTTGCAGAAAGTTCACTGTCTTCCCCCACTCCGTGAAGTCTGTGGTGTGGGAATTAGGAATATAGTTCAATTAGTATTTTGAAGATTTGCTATAGACAGTGTTCATTACAGTCTTCTCAGTGAAAGCCAATTAATTTCTTAGTATTCTTCTGGCACTGGTGCTTTTTTTCCTTCCTCAGTAGGCAGCAGCGCAGCGCGTTAAGGACATGAGTTGCTCTATAGAGAAGTTGCGTCACAGCAAAGGTGCAGACTTGGGGAGCCTCCACATGCAGTTCCTGTCATACAGACTGTAATGCTTTGAGATTATTATGGATTATTACTAGCATCCATCAAGCCAAGGAGCTATAAATTTCTGAAAGTGGTGTCCCTTCCACGTTCCTGTGTAGCGGCACAGCACTGCCAGCCTTCCCTCGTGACAACAGCAGTCACTTATTTTCTCTTCAGAGGAAAGAGATAGTCTGTCTGGTCCTTATGCGATAGTAAATACCAGATGTCGTTTAAAAGCTTAAGTAGCAGACGCGCTCTAATGTGTATTTGTTAATGTAACAAATCCCTTTGAGTGGCTGCAGAGTAATTTCCATCTGTACTCCACTTTCCAAATATTTTTGTCATCTCAGAGGTGTTTACAACTGGATAATCTTAATATTTATAGTAGTTGTAAAAGAGGCAGGAAAGCGGGTAGTAAATTTATGGTTGGAAAAAATGACAGTTGATGAGAATTTTGCATAATGAAGACGTGGAGAATCTTCAGAATCAACTATCAGCTTCCTGGGTTTGAATTTCAATTGAGGTGAAATGCTGCTTTGACAGCATGAGCCTGCACTTCTGAGACAATTACTTTTGAGTGCCTGAAATTTCTTTGGGTAGAATGTGTGGCAAAAATTTAGACATACCTGCATTTTTTTTTAGCGTTACCTGAAGCCCACACGCATGAACCTGAACTAACAACTCAAATCTAACAGCTATGAGCAGTTGCAATATTATGGTCAAGAATAGTTAAAAAACACTTGAGATTTCAGTAGTTAATATAAAATTTAACCATTCAGTAGTGTGGTAAGTGTATCCGCAATACAATGCTGTGGGTTTTGCTAATGTATGTAAGAGCCTGGGAGCCCAGAGGCGCAGATGGCAAGGAGGCTCTGGGGTACGTTTGACATAGTGTGCGTCACCAAGGTGCTGGGTGCAGTCAGGCTTCGCACATCGATTCCTACCGCTGGCAGTTTACCTGTCAGCTTGAGTTCAGGGTAGTCTGAATTACTTTGGGGCTTACTTTCTCTTTATTACCAGACACTCCAAAGGAGAAATAAATGAATCAAGCGGGATATAAATAATACTTTGCATCTCCAGTTGGCTCAAACCTTGTGTAGACCCCAGAGTTGCGGTGCAGAGGATGAGCAGTGGCAGACCTAAGGCAGTGTTACAGTCGTGGCGGAGGACTGAAGTTAGGGTCCGCAGTGCATGCTGCAGAGATCCTGGCTGCTCAATCTGCAAGTCAAATGCTTGGCTTCGCTTTGCTACAGGTTTTATTTATGCTGAGCATTTTCTTAACTGACCTCAAATATGCTTTAGAACTTTACACCCCTGCAATGATTTCACTGTGAACCCAGACTTGTTCTGTTTCTGTGCCTTGGTGTTACAACACACTAAAATCACTTGAGAAAATGCCAAGTAAATAACAATGGGGAAAAAATAACTCATAGTCTCTGCTTCCTTATTTCAGTATTTATGGAAACTGTTATAGTGGACGCACGTCAGTAGCAAATGCCCTTTTCATCTCCCATGCGTCCACTGAAGCTGCCGTCTGTGACAAAGTGTGGTCTCTAGAACGTGCTCCCTTTTTTATTTCCAAACAATTCTTAATATCCGTCGATGTATCTGATGACCGCGGATCAGGTAGGCCTGCTGTGCTGGTGCCACACGGCACGGTGCTCGTAAACAGCTGGTGATTCTCCCAGCTTGGTGAAGTGAGAGCTGCTGGTAGTATGGGTGCACCTCTCATAAAAGCAGCCCGCATGGGCTGAAGGTTGATGTCCTGGGCTCTTGGAGCGTGAATACTCTGTGCAGTCCTCAGACTGTTTGATGAAGAGTGAGGGATTGGCTTGCCAGGGCTGCTAGGCTGCATGGAACGATGGTCCTGGGTTCCTGGGTTGTGGGGTATACAAAGAACAACGCTGTTGCAGCCAGCCCTGCAGAATAGCTGCCGCATGGGTTACAGAGCAGGTGAGCCCCCCCAGCCGCTGGCTCTGCCTGCGTGCACGGCTCACTGCGGGGCTGTCTGCTGCAAGTCACACCGACCCCCCTGCTTGGTCTGCCTCTGACGCGTTCGAAGCGCACCGGGTGATCCTCATTGCTTGTGGAATTCTGACCACGTAGCGTGGACACAGCCTGCATTTTGGAGCTTTGCTTCTCAGTTCAAAGGCTGGAAATGTACTTCTGAAGTGAGTTACGGTAAAAAGGAAAACCTTGAAGCTGAATTTCTCTTGTAGTCACAGAAGACCACAATCTGTGTGGTCATTATAAATTTGTTGATGGCATTATGATGTTTTATCATTTAAAATATCATCAAATCATTGTGATCAGTTTGATTACAGAGTCCCAAAGAGTGTAAGCAGTAGGAACTTGTGTGTTCTTCAGTGCCTGTTGGGTCGGAAGTTTGTGTGGGCAGTAGCACTGCTATCACAAATGTTATTATATGTGGCACTGTTCTTGCTTAAAGGAGCACTGCTGACTGTCAAAGTCAGGTTTTGTAAAATAAGATAATACAAAACTTGAACAAAAATGTTTTTGCGATTTTTTAGACGTTCTGTTGAGAACAAGGGTTAGATGATGTTTGAAACGTCTTTAAAAAAGGAGGGGGGAAATGAAACTACTCTACTTGTGCGAAAAGGATCTATAGTAAGTGTATTTTTTTAGCAGTTTTCTTAATTATGATGAATTTGATAAACACCAATATATTTCCATTAATTTATGGTAATTCATGATGATGAAATATATCCGGTTCTATAGGTCTAAAACCACACTTAGCCCCTTAGCAACAGGCAATGATTTGCAAGTGTTTTCCCCCTTAGAAATCAAGGCAAATATTAGGAAACTGTTACCCCCTTTTCTTGGCAAAGTGCCCTCTAAATAAATAATAACAAATAAAAAGTCAAAATATCTGTTCTGAGATTTTTTTCAATAGGTACTTCTCCTGGATTCTGAAATTATAGGAAATAGAGTTTGAATTATTTTTGATGGATTTTCTTCACATTAAAATGCCCTTTTTTCAGATTTCTCCCATTGGCAATAAGTAGGTGCTAGGAAATTTAATTATACAAGAATTAATTGTATTATTCTATTCAGCATTCCTTAGATTACACTGCCCTCTACAGATATGAGCTTTGGTTTTTAGTCGAAAGGCAAAAACGTGCACTGGGGATCGTTTTACAATCTAGGACAAGGAAAAACTGTCAGGGGAAGAGTTTGAAGTACTGCAGGGGTCGTTTAGTAGCATCCAGAGACTTGAATAAATGCAAAGACACTTAGGAAACACTGCTTGTTTTTTCCTGAGCTGCACGCAGGAAGTATTGGGGCTAAAGGGGAAACACCATCCCCTCCAGCCCCCTGTCTGGGCATTGGAGATGGGAGACTCTTCCGTACTGCACCGGCGCAGGGACAGCAGTGACCGGCTGGTGTGCAGTCCTGCCCAGTGCTTGGGGTTCTGCGACGGACAGGCGTCACCGTTCTTCTCCCTACTGTAGTAGTGAGTACGAGGTCATGAGATTTGGCGTAGGTTGACAAACAAGACTCGATAGTCCTAATTTTAATGGGCAGAAGCAGACATAGAGAAGCGTCAAGCAAGAACTGAGCCACATCAAGGCTTTTTAGGGAAATTTCAGTTATTTGGGGAAGCGGAGCTGGGAAGGACGGGGGATTGGGAGGGAACCTGGACCACGAGGTTTGGGCAGGGCTTGTATGCCAGGAATCTGTCTCTTAGCGTCCCGTAAATGCTTTACTTTGTGTATGGGTCATTAGGGATGTCAGGGTAAAAGTGGGAAGGCTAGGGTCAAAGCTGGGCGTTTGTCACCTTCAGCACTGCCTCGAACCACCTCTGCCTTGGGATGGGATGTTTCTGTGCTTGACTTCCCGAGGTTCCTTCCAGTTCTGTTTATTGCCCCTCATCCTCCAGTTGATAAGATGAGACTGAAGGTTACACATGATTTGATGGTGTGTTTAGCTGGGATACTCTACAATTTAAACTCTGTGGAACCTGTAGTACTATGGGAACCACTGGAAAGCCCATCAGAATTTCAGTTCTTAACTCATGTGTTCCTGTTTTGTTTTGTTTTCTTGTGTCCTACACAGATCCTGATGAGTTTGAGAGGATATATGAGCCGCTAGATGTGAAGAGCAAGAAGATTCATATAGTGGACAGTGGGCTCACCTTTAACCTGCCGTACCCGCTTATCTTAAGACCTCAGAGAGGCGTCGATCTCATCATCTCGTTTGATTTTTCAGCAAGGCCAAGTGATTCCAGTCCTCCTTTCAAAGTAAGTAAGAGAGGCCTTTCCTTTCTTTGTGTTCATAAATAGAAGTTGACCCAGTTGCATTCTTCCAGTTGGGTTGGTTGCGCATTTCATGGTTCCAGAAGGCTGGAGTGCTATTGTATCGACAGCACTGGAGCAATTTGTTTCCACGTCAAGGCAGAATATTGCTCTCTGCCTCGGTTCCTGTTTACATGACTCACATGAGACGGCTGACACAAAGGCGGCTAAGATCATTCATTTGAAGTAGTAGCTCTGTTGTTTTTATGGAAGTCTTGCCTTCACACTGAATTGCAGAATTTTGGTTTATGTCAGTATTAAACAATTAAGTCAGTCATTTACCATTGTGCTAGTGCTCTAGCTCTGTACAGCTGTTCTCCTCTGTGATGCTGGGGTGGAAATGAATGGGTTTCTGTCATCGCTTTGCAGAAATGTGCCTCAGTCGCTCTGGTATTGCTAAATCTATAACATTTTGGAAGTGGGGCTAAGTGTTCATTTACATCTCAGTAAGATAATCCCAGTACTGGTTTAAGGAGGACTCCAAAATCCATGTGGGGCAGAGCAATGTGGATTAAAGGAGGTGGCTGTGGTCTGTAGCAGGTGTGGGGAGCACAGCTGCATCCAGACGGCTCCAGCTGACCAGGAGGGCTTCACCTCGGGTCGTTGTGGTAGCTGACAGAGAAAAAGCAGTTCTTGTGAGACTGTTGTGAGGTTCTCAAAAAAATGGCAATATTTGTCTGAAACCCAAGTGGATTTTTAAAAATAATTTTTAAGGAAACCAAGAAAGCATGCCTGTTTGAGAAACAACTCACATTCTTTGTTGCTTTACAGGCAAATTTCAATTAGAACAAAACCAGTGGTTTTTTTTCCTTCCTCTTGCTATCAAGGGCCAAAACTCCCAAACATTGCTATAAAATAACAGCAGTAGCAAAACGAACTCTAGATCAGTGTCGTCAATGCAAAGTTTTAAAGCAAGCTTCGGGAGAATAGAGAGGAGTAAGCAGCGTAATCTCTAGGTCTCTTGGGAACGACTTGGAAGAACAGAGCACTGAGAACTCAGTGGCTGAGAGCCTTCATTTGTCCTTGACTGACTGAATCCCACAGCCTGTTTATTCCTTTAATTTTCTATTTGTTTAAGATTTTGTCACGACTGAGTATTTTCCCCATCAGATAAATTTACTGGCCCGACACTGCCGTCTCCTCTGAAAGGTCTTCTCTTCCCTCCCTACGCTGTGTTCTGCACGTGGAGTCTGCAGAGGGCTGCGTGTCAGCATCTCTGATACCCTTGCCCTGTGCACGGAGCTTTCTGTCTCCATCGGTGCATTTTCTGCGTCGTCTGGGGGAGCAAGCCAGAACGTGGAGAGATTGATTGGAAGTCAAGCGGTGTCCTGAAGGTTTTTCTGTGATTGTAAAAGGGCTAAATCCTTTTACGCAAGAAAACATGATGGGAAAATTAAATGGTGCCTTAGGTTTTCACGAAGCCACTGTGGAAGGGAATGGTTCATGGTTTCTGGAGCGCCAAGGTGTGTGTAACAGTGACGTACCTCCAGCTCATAGACGCTGCAGTCTGCAAGCAGAAGCCGTGTGCCCATGGCCTGAGGGACAGAAACCAGTTTCGTTTACTGGATCCCATTGGTTCTGCTTGCACTACAAAGAGTAAATGCCCGTTCAGGAGTTGGCCTGTATCGATGGTAGCACTCTAATATATTTTCATTACTCCAGCACATGGGGAAATCAGCCAGCTGAAGTCAATGACCTTGCTCTTGGAGTTTCATCATTTTACACCCACTATCTTTTAATCTCTTGCGTATCAAAAACAGTTGCCCAAAGAAGGGTCCTATTTCATTCAAAAGCAAGATTAAAGATGTTGACCTTCCCTTTCCTCCCTCTCACACACCCTCATTACACGCTTTTGAGTCATTGTTTACAAATTATGTTGTTTACTGAGTTGTCACGAGGAAAAAAAAGCCTGATTTCCAGACTTCTGCGCTGAGCATGCTTTCAGATGCTGTGCTGTGACTGAACATAACACGTGGATTGGTGTTTATTAACGCTCGCTGGTTTCCATAGCACTGATGCTCGGTTTGCATGTGAAATTACGGATGGTTTTTTCTAGCTGTCAGCCCTGTAAGCTCCCCCACAGATTTATGTGACAGACCAACTCTTTCCTTCCTGTGAATCATCGCAGGTGGTGAAGGTTGGGCGGGCTCCATTAGGTGCTCAGTTTGCCAGGCTGGGTCGTTTGTACAAAGATTGACTCGATCGGTCCTCCTGCCATAAAGAAGCGTGGGTTAAGGAAACTGCTTCTCATAACCAGTTTGACCCGTGTCTCTCTGCATAAAATCTCACCTCGCAGCGGATGCTTACGAGCCCCTGACTCTTTGTTATCTTTTCAGGAAATTTTGCTTGCTGAAAAGTGGGCCAAAATGAACAAGCTTCCTTTCCCGAAAATAGACCCCAACGTGTTTGATCGAGAGGGCATGAAGGAGTGCTATGTTTTCAAACCGAAGGATACGTCTTCAGAGAAGGACTGTCCAACCATCATCCATTTTGTTTTGGCCAACATCAACTTCCGGAAGTACAGAGCTCCAGGTGAGCGCGCAGGCACTGACGCCAAGCCCGGCTGTTCCTGTGAAGCTTTGTAGTGACGTAGTCATTATTATATGCGAGAAAGGGCTTGTCTCAGAAATAACTCGTAAGTGTCTCTGTAGTAGTTGGGGATTTCAAAAGAGCCGTTAAAATGGAAGGTGGTAAGTCGTCAGACCGAACATTTAGATTCTGTTTTTGTATTTGTTCTGTACGCAGGCATTCTGAGAGAAACTCAGGAAGAGAAGGATTTTGCAGACTTTGACATTTTTGATGATCCGAATACACCGTTCTCCACCTTCAACTTCCAGTATCCCAACGAGGCTTTCAAGAGGCTTCATGACCTCATGGAGTTCAACACCCTCAATAACATCGACGTACGTACACCAGTGTGGAAGGGCCTGAAAGGGTCTAGGCTGTCACATGGGAAGTAGGTGACGTGAGTAAAGCCCTAAATCTGTCATGCAGAAGGTGCAGGGGTTTACTTCAGCGTCTGCCAGATTGTCGTGACAGATGAAGTGCTTCCTGCACTTAGCTGTGCCCTTTGCTGTCCCCAAAGTTGAGGCCGGATCAAAACCCTTTATAATTAGTGGAAAAAATCTGCTTGATTTTAATGAGGGCTGGAGTATACCCTAGGTAAGTTCTTCATGAGCTTGCTCAGAAGCTTGCACAACCTGTGGTGTGATCAGCTTGCGTCCTTCCAGCCTGGGAAGGAAGGAAGAGTCCAGGCACCGTAAGTAACGCAGCAGCTGGAGTTACCTGAAGGGAGTTGGACGAGACACGCAGTGAGAATTCAGTGAGGAGAATTCGCTCTGTTCACTTGACTGCTGTCTCTGAAGGACTGAAATAGCAGTGTGGTGGGAAGTACTACCATACCTGGTCCTCTCTCAGTAATAAACCTCTGAGCAGTGGCTTTTGAAAAGGCCAGAGGTGCTTTCCAGTGGGGGGATAAAAGGTCTGAACAGTATTTCTGGGGCTGAGATCGATGTAATGTTGTGGACATCTTCCAGATGGAGGAGCGATGGGGGTGCACGCTGTGTAATTTCCAGAACGTTTGAGCCTGTGCTTGTTAGGATCCCTTCCAGTTCACCCGCCTTGCTGTTTGGGTCCCTGTGCTGTTTTTGCATTTAGCCATCACAAGCCCTGCGGGGTAACCGAGCAAAGGTGGCTCTGGAGGATGGAGACACTATGTTCAGGATTTTATACTCCGTTCCTTATGTTCGCTGATTTTCTGGCTGGGAAAAAAAGAAATTGGGAGTTTTCTGTAAAGTTCCCTGGAAATTTAGCAACTAATCGTAATTGTTTTTCATTGATACGAGCTGTGACATGACACCATGACCCCAGCATCCACAGATGACTTGCCGTGTTCACAAGTGTAAATAATCATCCAGATAAAGAAATTACTTTTTTTTTCCTCAATGTGCCAAAGAAATCCTGTTACTTCAGGACTTAGGAAGCAAAAGTGGAGATTTAATCTTTCTCAAGATAATTATTTTCTATATCCTTTGAGTATGGATTTTATCAGTGTTCTGATTTACCCTTTGGAATTTTGCTGGGACTGGGTTTCGATGGTGTGTGTGCTCGTGTGACTTCTCTGCCGTTGGTGGTACCCTGTCACATTTTTATTGACTACGTTAGAATCAGGGTCTTACACAATCGAGAAGCAGTATTCGTAATAATGCTCAGCAATCGCTTTGTTCATGGTGGAGCAGTGACAAAAAAAGGAGCAGAAGTCGTTAACATGTGAAGGGGTCTTTTCTATCAGCTGGCCAATCCTGGAAACGTGGCGGGTTTCCCGTAATGACACCTTGCTTGTTGTTTTCCAGGTTATCAAGCAAGCTATGATGGAAAGCATCGAGTACAGAAAAGAGAACCCGTCTCGCTGCTCCGTGTCTCTGAGCAGTGTTGAAGCAAGGAGGTTCTTTAACAAGAACAATCTGAACAACAACCCTACGTAGACGGTGTGGCGCAGGTCCGCTCCGCCCGGAAGCCGGCTCTGTCTCTGTAACTGGAGTCGAAAAGACGTTACCGGAGCAGCGCTGCTCCTCGGCAGGGCTGTGCCAAGCTCCTGGAAATGCTGGCTTGTGAATTTTCAAGTTCAACATAATTTTGTACTGCTTTTTTTTTAAACTAAACACAATGAAAACATTTCAGTACGCTGATATCTTTATTTTAAAAACTGTGGAATTGGTTTATTTTGACTGTGGTCACTGGGTTCAGTGTCTTTTTCCTTACAAAACTGTAACCACACGCTGGTTTCTCACAGTGGGGCAGTTGTTTGGGGTTTAATTGATGTGAGCTGGGCATATCTTGCCATGTAAGGTGGAATTGGAAACACAACAGAAAAAAACTTTATTACAGTTTATGTTATCGTCTCTGTTAACAGCAGAGACAACGTGTAGACCTGGGCTTGTGCCCGAATTCTGCCCCGCTGTGTGTGAGTGAGGAGGCTTCCCCCGACTTTGGTTTGAGAAGTCGGTGACTGCTCGCTCCTGCCTGGCGACAGCAGCTCCCGGGCGCGTTGCGTCGCGCGGCCGCTTGCCAGCGCTGCGAATCGCCGCATCACGCAGGTCGGAACAGACCTCTGAGGTCACCCCCGAACCCCCTCACCACGCGGGGTTCCAGGTGCCGCTTTTCTGCCGGGAGTGGTGTCTCCTAAGAAACCCCCAGCAACCTTTTGAGAAGGAGCAGAGATCAAAGCAGGGGGGATCATACAGCTTGGGCGTTATGAGTAGGATCCTCAGCTGGTTACTAATGCTGGTAGAGTTGTTGTAACTGGTGCTAGGGAGGATCTGCTCTTGAATCTCAGTCTCAAATATTTTCACAAAAATCAAAGTCGACTTTAGTGCTGTTTCAGAGTGCGTGTATCCGCTCAGCAGAAACTCCCACCGCTCTTTCTTTTGTTCTGCAAAATCTCATTGCTTGAGTTCTTGAGCTAGTAGCACCTACGTGTTAAAATTATCGATAATTCATGTGTTTCTGGCCAAAATGCTTACGAATAAATTAAAAGTGGTTTTGCGTTTGGTCATGGTTCGAAGCAGCACGTGTCTGCAGAGAGTGGCAGTGCTCACTGGGACAGATAAAATGCTCCTGGGTAGGGATGCGAAGTAGCCGGTGCCTTAAGGGCTGGTTTTAAAAACACATTTTTGGTACGTTGAGTAATGGAAGACCGTGGAGAGGCAGAGATGATTCTAGGGCTGCCTCAACAGGCGCTGCGTAGAAAACGGCCATCGCAGCTCTGCGCGCTTGCGGGCTCCTCTGGGGCGATGTCGCGGGAGGGCGGGA